GATGCTTTGGGCTTAGGGCCCCTATATATATATATATGAATTTTTCAATTGAACCTGAACAGCACAAATACCATCATGTACACAAAACAAAGGCACATGTGAGTATTACCCACAATGCAATATTACCATCTATTCTATGGCATTATCATAATCTAATAAAGGGAAGATAATATGCATAAATAAATACCTCCTCCCATTACAAGAACATAAAACTCACCATCGCCATTCTTCACATCGCAATCAGCGGTGACAGAGTTCCCTAGGACAAGCATTCCCACAGGGGGAGCTTTGAGGCTGGGCTGACTGCGGATGTTGTGTCCTGAGGCTCCACACTTGACAACCGTGTATACCCCTGCACCCCCACTGACCCCCTCACTTCCCTCTATGCCCAGGGATGTCTCTCGACGTGGGCTAAGGTCCCGGCGGCGGCTTATGGTGTCAGTAATCACCTGTTGATTAACAACTAAATTGAGCTTTTTAAGTTCACTGATTAGCAATCTGTTTATGGTTAGCATCAAGTATAATGCCAGAGCAAAGCATGGCCTAATTACAGGTGGCACCATATAATCACATACCCTGTACCATCAGCTCATCAGATGGAGCTCCTCTTTCTCTGCTAGTAGTGACATCTTTTGTTTGGTCTCATTATTAGATACAAGCACTTAAATATTTCAAAACTTCTGTCTATGAAATTGAACTACTTGCTATTGGGTGCATATGTTGTTCCTGAATTACTGAACAAGCCAGGCATAAACTGGGGGAAACTGCCAAAGTGGGCTAACAGCCCCACATTACTGGTCAAAAGCTAAATCTTAATACCATGATTAAGAGGTTAAATATAATGACCTGTTAGATAATACTGTTAGTGTAGATCCCTTCTCTTCAGAAGAGTTCACAAACAGAAAATTAATGCTTTTTTGTTAAAGATGGCAAGCACATAATAAGGGAAAAATGCATCCCTTATCGATATCAAAAAATCTCTTGATTCTGACACAAAAAAATTGTTCAAACTTGATTTCAGTTTAACATCTCCAGGTTGCTTATTGAACCCCCAGAAAAGATAAATCTACCTGATCCAGAATTGTCTTTGGGTGATCCAGTGGAACAAGGAGAGTCTTCCCAAGGTGTTGGTTGTACTGCAGACACCAAGCTTCTGAGTAGCCATTGGTGCAATACTGCCTGATGCTTTCTGGGCTTAGGCGGAGCCACACCCCATCACTGTTGTGGACCTGTGAATTCATTTTGGGTATAATCTCACAGATTATAAATATATATAAGTGATGGAACTGCATTCTTATCTAGCTATTTACAGTCATAAAGAATTTATATATATTAAACATGGAAAACTTACAATATTCAAAGCAATGTTAATTTTTGTTTTCATGAAGCATATATTTCATCTCACCTATATAATATAAAATGAAAATACAAACTGCTGATACAAGTAAGATACAAACCTCATCCACAAAGGCAATTGTTCCATTAACATGAACAACCCCAATCTGTTCACTCTGCAAGGATGGATGAGTGCGTATTCTCAGGCCAGCACTGTTCTGCAGCACAAACTTTCTTAGTCGGGAAGGCTGCTGCGATGATCTCCTGATGGTGCTCTGGACCGGCGGAGTAACACCTTGTGGCGGTTCCTTGACTTCCATCTTGAAGGTCTGTGATTTAAAAAATGTGTAGTCAATGTCAAATAACATGATAAAAAAGGAAAACAATCAAGCATGAAAAAAAAAAAAAAAGGTCAAAGACCAAGAATATCTTTTGTGCCAAAGAATTCTGTAAACTATAATGAGAGGAAAATAAACAGAGGTGGGAAAGAGAAAAGATTGGGACACGATATGGAGAGATTAAGTGTAAAATATGATTACCCAGGAAAAAGAGCTTAAAGTGAAATGAGAGGAAAACATAAAGGAAAAATACAAAATACAGAAACATGGTAAGACACTACAACAAACCTCTTCCAACTGATATCCGTCAATAGTCACATGAAGAGAATACCATCCTGTTGCTCCTGGTGTCCAGTTACAGGAGTACGTGCCATCATTATTACTTCGCACTAACATGTTTTCTGTTGGTCTCCGCATAGCAGGGGACATGTAACGGAGCTCTTCAAAGGAATAGTTTTCATAAGCCTGCAAAAGAAAAGTGAATCCTATTTACATCACAAACACTAAACATTAAGATGGACCTTGGTGATAGGTAATTTGACTTATTTTATAATATAAAAGCCATTCTTGAACAGCATGCAAGCTGTACCTTTATCATGGTAATTGCACAATAACACATTTTGTCCTTGATGGACACTTGGTATGGCACATCCAGTGAGGGCTGAGGGTGTCCACCAAAGGTCATATTATCGGGGACATGCTGACTTATTCTTCGGAGCTTCCCTTGGCCACCTTCCTCCCCTGTGCTCACAGGAACTGCCACGACTTCCACCTGAAATGGATGAATTACTATGTAACTTTTCCACAATCTTGTTTTTTAAGGTTTTACTAAAGCTGTTATCATCATTACTAAAATTATACTTTTTATAAGATTAGCAATTCCAACTAGAATCACAGATTTCCATGCCCATAAATCTTGTTATGACCAATCACAATTTTGAATGAATCAAAACCTGAATTCAGTATTACAGTCTTGCCCTGTACAACAAATTTCTAGATCTAGTGAAAATAATCAAAACCACAAATATCACTGTCTCACATAAACTCCAAACTAACCTTGAGTGAAGGAACATGGACCACCTCACTATACTGGTCCCTGGTGAGGATGGTGACAATGGCTGGCCAGCCTGCACGCATGTCATCGCGGCTGTAGAGAACCTCACACGCCCGAACATCAACATAAGAGTCAGGCTGCAGCCATCTCGCCAAGCGCCCTCCACTTGTCCCTCCTGCGCAGGACACAAAATCCCGCAGAAACAGCCTCTCATTTGAGTGACAACTGTGGAGAAATTTGGTAGTGCTTGAACATTCTGGAGCTTTTTTTTTTTTTTTTTTTTTTTTTTTGTGTGTGTGTGTGTGTGTGTGTGTGTGTGTGTGTGTGTGTGTGTGTGTGTGTGTGTGTGTGTGTGTGTGTGTTTAACCTTAGAAGAGAAAAGACAAATCATCATCTCAATTACAAAAATTCACATTATGATTTTTAAAAGAATTATCAAGCCAATAAAACAATGGTATGAAAAGGACATTTAAAAGTAATACCTCAATTTTCTGTTCTTTATTTTGTATTTGTAGTAGTTTAACCCATTCTCCCCAGATTTATGTTCTGTCCCCTGTAGTTTTTGGTGAATTTTGTTACATACAGATGGCTCCACATGTGCTCAGCCGGCAAGGAGTCTGTCAGTAGGCCCTTGTTACTGATCCTGATTTTCCTATTCATTGAATTGGCGGGAAAATCAATACCATTGATATCGATACTGTTATTACTGTTATTGATGTTATGATTATTAAATTGTCATTAAAATATTTTAGACAATGAAATGATACAAAAAATTTTTTAAGGAAAAGGGTAAACAGGTGAGATAGGTAGTTCTGATAAATAGGCTATTTGGTGATTAGGAACTTGTAGAGCCATCTATGTGTACATACAATATATAAATGTGGATTACAGTGGGCATGGCATCTATTCTTGCCACATGAGGCAAATGGGTTAAGAAAAAAACACCAAAACATGATTTATATCATATCATAATATTCACTTTCATATGCAAAGGAAAAGACCCCTCTCTCCTTTCCTTCCTCCCTCCCTCTCTCCCTCTTTAATGTTAACCCAAACTAAAGCAAATAAAATGTGTAGGATAAGGTGTTTTATCTATAATTTTCCTTTACAGCACTGTGTAATATGATTTACTGTCATTGCCATAGTATTTACCTAAAAGGAAAGGAGACAAATTGGGTTGATTCTTAAATATTCATTATTAATATTTCAGCTTTATCTTCTCAACTGTCCAATATCTTTAACAATATAGAATATCAAATTTGTAAGGATCTTACAAAAAGTCTTACATTTAGACCTCATAAATATTGTCAAGAGCTGCTATCTCTCTCTCTCTCAAAAAAAAAAAAGTAATAATAATAATTTAAAAAAATCAGGAATTGAACAAGTGGCACCTCAGTCTCCTCTGAGGTGACAATACTACTTGTAATCAACTGTCAGTTCTTGTGACTGTTATTTCCAACACTTCTAATTTCTAAGAATCAATGGAAATTCAACTCAAATCTGATCAGTAATTTTGATTTTGTTACACAACTTTCATTGATGCTTCCCTGATAACTGTTTATCAGAATTGTTCTACACCAAGAGTAGTTACACTAAAATGCCAGCAAAAAGTTACCTTCCCTAGTCTAGTGAGGCAACACACCATGTCTATCAGAACACTATAGAAAATAGAGCACTGAAGTATTAATATGTCCATCAGTCTGTTAACAGTTCAGCCTAGCATGATCTGTTAATGTCCTAAATTTTAAAATTAAATAGAGAAGTTATTCAAGATAAAAACATTCCTATCAGCTTATCAGTTTTTAGTTTAGATAATCCATGTTAAGTCATTTGTAAATCATTAAGAGACTAAACTAAACTAAAAAGAAATATAATCCTATTAAATCTTGTAACACAATTCCATCAGGTGTCTAATCAACTAGATAGCATCATTCATGAAAAGACTAAAAATTTATGCAATCAAGAAATTGAAGATTTCCTTTCTTGCAAGAACATCCTATAGTTCTGCGAATGCTCACCACTTTTGGTATCAAGCTCAGACAAGTTTCAAGTAACCATTTTCAAGATAAAAAAAAAGGAAAAAGGATAAAACTCTAACTCTTTTACATTCTCCATCACACCAATACATATACAATCCTTTGTACATTTTTAGCCATTTAATAACTTATGGACTATTCCCATAATGAGAAGTTTTTAGTATTACAGTTAAATCACCCTAAACAAAGGTTCTATGACTAACTCATGACATCATTTCCTGACTTAAGACCAGTGAGGACTAACAGAGAGGACTTCCTGAGGACAACAGATGCCTGAGAAGGTCACAAGCTTGGAAATCACACTTTCAGCCATTTTAAACATTTGGTGACTACTGTGAAGTGAAGTGAAATATTAACAAAGAGTATAGTGACTATCTGTGAATATAACTGTAACAGGTTATCTAAATTACTGCATCTGTTGATAGAAAGTGATCTACAAATCATGAAATACAAAGTGAAAATGTTCTTTCTCATAGGCTGGTTGTGGGCCCAGATCCTTGGCCACGAAACCTCTGCAAGAGAGCCAATCAGATATGCAAAAAGTTTAAGTGAAAACAGGTCTCTAGACCAACACAATTCTACAATACTGCTGCTAAAACCTCCCCAAAATGTCAATACACCTATGCCAGTGCCAAGTGACATCCAGATAGTCCCTGGTGTTGAAAGAATGCCTCACCATGAATATTTCAACCATCATGACACTCATTTACCAACTCATAGTAGTATAGATGATAAAGTAAACATCATGGATTTTCTACCCTCTCGAAGGATAAACAACAGAGGCCCAATAGAGGATGAACCCATAAACACTAATGCCACAATTGACCTATTTGAATCTTCTAGAGCCTTTGACCAGCCCAGTGACCCTAAGCACATATTCAACTCACATGAATATGTAAATTCATCAGAACCTTCAAGAGATTTTGACCATCCTAGATATTCAGAAACCACCCCTAAATCACATGACATAAATGAACCTTCAAGGACCTACGACAATGTCAGCCATTCAGATTATACACCATCACCACATGACTTACATGTAGACTTATCTGAGTCTACCACACCCTCTGACCAAACTAATGACCATACACCCAGTCCACATAAGGTACATGATGAAAGCTCCTTTCAACCCACTGACCAAACCAGTTACTCAGGTTATACACCTTACCCACTTGATGAGCATGTAGCCTTATCAGAATCTTTGAGACCTTCTGACCAATTCAACCACTCGGGTCACACAACCAACTCACCTGAGATACATAGTACAAGTTCCTTTATCTCTGAAGAAAATCCTTTCACTACAAAGAGGATAGAGATCTCCAAAGTATATGAAGAAGAATCTAATGCAAATGAAGAGCTTGGTGAAAACCCTATTATACCTTTGGTAACATCTAATGGTTCCGACCTACAAAACAATACAGAGATCAATGAGTCATACCAAGATCCAGAAGACAGAAGGCCTTTTGAGAGGGATAGTCCAAACTACAAAGAATCTATCTTTACTGATCCTGAAGGTAAGTTCCTTTTATCATCATCTCATCATTATAAACATTGTAATAATGATAATGATCATCATTGTGGTCTTAATACTATAATGATTAGAATAGCAATTGACTAATGATAATAATATCAATTTGGCATCAAACAGATATCCATGAAAGCCATGAAATACCAGAAAATGCAACTACTAGATCCTCAGGAAAAAGAAATCTCTGTCTAGTCTGCTTTTGTGACACAGAAAACAAAAAAGTTTACTGCAAGCATGAGCACATTTATGGTGTAAGTATAGATATTATGTTATAAATTTCGTCAAATTCAAAAATTTTCATGTACCAAAAATATCTAGCAATCAGGTTATACATATAAAAACTAATAAATGTAAAAATACTAATTTCTTATGAATTCTCAAAAGAAGTGGGGGGGAACATATTGATCTATACTCATATCAATATATATTTTTTTTGCATCTATATATACATGTGATATAAGATGTCTTTATACAAACAACACCAGGACTCATTCCACACAATCCTTTAGGGCGGATCACACCATATGACTCTCAAGAAAGAGCTTATCCCTGAAAATGCCACTTTCCTACACCTTGAAGGCTTTGACACACTAACAATACCTGAAGACACATTTGCGAGCCAACACCTCGAACTCCATAAAATAGTGTTTGAGGACATTGGAAGAATCAACCTCAGCAAGGGTTCACTTGCCTTCAGTCCAAAAGCAAGGTCAGTGACAGAGAAGTTAAAAAGAATCCTAAGAAAACAATAAAAGAAAGAGGGAAAGAAATAGGTGTTAATCAAAAGCACTGAATATCTTTTTATATGTAATAATCTAATCATCGGAGGAAATATTAATTAAATCCACACAAAATAAAACCATTATTTTTTATCATAGGGAAAACCGTGAGGTAACCATCGTTTTTCAAAAGTGCAAAATTGAGGAGCTGCCTACAGAAGTCTTTACCCAACATGCTAGAAGTGAGACCCAAGCCATTGACAAACAACTTGAAGAGACAAGATTCCTCTCTCTTTATATTGAGAAGTAAGAGTAAAAAAGAAAATAATTTGGACTGTTATAGATCAGATAAACAGCTGTATCATGAATATTTGAATGTGTTCAAATATACTGATAACTTATTCTAAAAATCATCTCTTATTATTACAGCTGTGACATTTCAACAATCCGATACCATGCACTGTATAGAGCAAGAATATTTCACTTCAACATGATCCATACTAAGGTATAGTTTTATAGTTTGTGTGAAAGTGAGAATGAGAGAAAAAGGAGGGGCAAAGAAAGGGGGAGGAAGAGAGAAAGAGGGGAGAAAGAGAGAGAATGGGAGAGGGAGAGGGACAGGAAGAGAGAGAAAGAGAAAGTAAGAGAGGGTGGGAGGGAGACAGAGGGAGAGAGTGAGTGAGTGAGTGAGTGAGTGAGTGAGTGAGTGGGTAAGTGAGTAAGTGAGTGAGAAAGAGAGAAAGAGAGAAAGAGAGAAAGAGAGAGAGAGAGAGAGAGAGAGAGAGAGAGAGAGAGAGAGAGAGAGAGAGAGAGAGTGTGTGTGTGTGTGTGTGTGTGTGTGTGTGTGTGTGTGTGTGTGTGTGTGTGTGTGAGTGAGTGAGTGAGAGAGAAAGAAAGAGAGAGAGAGAGAGAGAGAGAGAGAGAGAGAGAGAGAGAGAGAGAGAGAGAGAGAGAGAGAAAGGGAGAAAGAGAGAGAAAGGGAGAGAGAGAGAGAGAGAGAGAGAGAGAGAGAGAAGGAGAGAGAGAGAGAAGGAGAGAGAGAGAGAAAGAGAGAGAGAGAGAAAGGGGAGAGAGAGAGAGAGAAAGGGAGAGAGAGAGAGAAGGGAGAGAGAGAGAAAGAGAGAGAGAAAGAAAGAGAGAGAAAGAGAGAAAGAGAGAGAGAGAGAGAGAGAATCAAAGAAAGAAAGAAGGAAAGAGAGTGTGTGTGTGTGTGTGTGTGTGTGTGTGTGTGTGTGTGTGTGTGTATGTGTGTGAGAGAGAAGAGAGAAGAGAGAGAGAGAGAGAGAGAGAGAGAGAGAGAGAGAGAGAGAGAGAGAGAGAGAGAGAGAGAGAGAGAGCAAGAGAGAGAAAGCTAAATATTTCCTTATCCCAAAAAGGTTACCACGATGGAGGAGGAAAGTATCCACCTAGACATTTATGAACACTGGCTGATTGAGAACAGTGAGCTGCCACTCCTACAGACGGGCTCTATCTGTGTGCGTGCTCAAGGTCCTGTGGTTTTCTCCAAAAACATCTTGTGGGGGTTGGAGAGCAAGGCAATAGAAATTGACTCTACAAATCAGGTTAGTTTTTTTTTTTTTTTTTTGTTAGAACTTTTACTTATTTACTTAATTTCTATTCTCAATATCATGACATATTTTATTTCCAATACAAGAATATTATTAATTCAGGATATGATACAAATAAGTTTTAAATAATTACTTAACATGAATCACATCGCAAAAAAATTTACATATTCAGGACCTGAGTGAATTCCTTTCATCAGCTTTCCACTTAGCCTCATACATATGTATCCCTCTCACAGGTGTTATTTAAATACAACGAAGTGAAACACCTGGGCCCTGAGGCATTGCTCGCCATACAGCCAAATGCAGCAGCTGTCAGTGCTAACATCATCTTTCTCAACAACACGGTTGTGAAGGCAGATAATCAATCACTTTTGATCAGCAACCGGTATCCAGTTCATGAGCGCAGAGTGCTGGGAAACAGGTTCAATTTTGTGTGTGACTGTGAGATTGGTTTACAGTTTCATGGTCTTATGGGAATAACAGAGAACAGTAGCCATTTTGAAAATGCAACTTATAAGGCTGTTCTTGAGGAATCTCAGTGCAGGAAGTATGAAGACCTTATTCTATATGATAACATCAACAATTACTTGAAAGACAACTGCTTTCCGGTGCCTCTGCCAATTGTCATCTCTTCCACGATTGTTGCTGTAGCTGTCATTGTCACCATAGTAGTGTGTATTGTTTGCTCGAGACGTGCAGCCCGAGCAAAGGAGGAGGCCTACCTGGGAGAAAGTTGTTTCTCCAATAGCTTCTCCACTCTGCACTCAAACCACCACCCTCAGGCAACCTCCTATGGCAGTGACTGCCACTCTTGGGAGCGCTGCAATAACCTCCAGCCATGGGTGATGGCAGTGCCAGAGGTTAAGACTTATCAGGAGACAGAGGTACATGTGCTCTATGAACACACAGAGCCTATGAATGTCAGCATACGTGGGTCATGTCATGACCCTAAAGTAGACCTGCAACGTCAGGCTCAAGTACGCGCTTCATGTCCTTTTAATTAGAAAAGTTACTAAATATGCAAGCGGAGTCATTTGGCTGGAGTGACCAGGAGTTAAGAAAATGAACTGTGTAAAAACACAAGTTAAAGAGAAAGAAAAAACTATTCATATTTGTGCAATTATGAAGTGACAAGTGTACACTCTGTTCGCTTCTCTAGTTTGAGAAAACATATAAAAGAGTGTAAAACATGATAGAAAAATTACAAACTGTGAATTAAACTAAATATCAATCATATAGAGATGTTCATGTTCATCATCACGCATTTCTCTTTTTTTAAGTTATTATACATTTATTACTAATAACTGATCTTTGTTATACACAAACACCAACTTTATCTTGCACTGTGACTAAATTAAGTTTACACCACTTTTGTAAATATTTCATTTAGTTTGATTTTCCAATATTTTTGTTCCCATTATG